CCCCGGTCCCCCCGAGCAGAGTAGCCGGTATCATGAAAAAACAGTTTATTCACCAAAATGCAGGCGTTTACCCCCCAAAACCAGGGGGTCCAGCACCCCCACGTCCCCCCCTTCCCCAGGACATGTTGGAGTTCCCGGCTCAGGAGCTGCGGAAATATTTCAAGATGGGCGACCACGTCAAAGTGATCGCGGGGCGTTTTGAGGGTGACACGGGGCTGATCGTGAGGGTGGAGGAAAACTTTGTCATCCTCTTCTCCGACCTCACCATGCACGAGGTATTTAGGGGGTGAAGTGTTCATGTGCCGCCCCGAAACAGGCTATTTTTTGGGGAGAAAAGGAGAGGAAATAACTGCGTGTCACGCTTCTCATCCCCAGCTCAAAGTTCTGCCCCGGGACCTGCAGCTCTGCTCGGAGACAGCATCCGGTGTGGATGCTGGGGGGCAGCACGAGTGGGGCGAACTGGTGCAGCTGGACCCCCAAACCGTGGGTGTCATCGTTCGCCTGGAGCGAGAGACCTTCCAGGTGAGTCCCAGCTCTCCGGTGAGTCCGGGAGGAGCCGCAGCCCTGTCCCGTTGGGGTTTTCCCCTGCTCAGGGCTGTGTCTTTTACCCGGGAGGGAGGGGGTGTCCCCATTTTTGGCTGCCCCCCCCAATCTCCCAGCCTCTCACTGTCCCCGCAGGTGCTGAACATGTACGGGAAGGTGGTGACGGTGCGGCACCAGGCTGTCACCAGGAAGAAGGACAATCGCTTCGCCGTGGCCCTCGACTCGGAGCAGAACAACATCCACGTCAAGGACATCGTCAAAGTCATCGATGGGCCGCACTCGGTAGGGACTTCTGGGGTTTGGGAGAGGAGGTGTCCTGGAGGGGGGGCAACAGGCCCCTCCTGGTGCTGGGAAGGTCTCCAGGGCTGCTCCAGGTCTGTCCCTGCTTTGGGGACCATCCCTGGCGTGAGCTGGGCAATACAGGGGGGTCCCTGGTGTATTTAGGGTCCCTCCTAGCACTGAGGGGACACCAGGTCCCCCCTGGGTCTGTCCCTGCTTCAGGGACCATCCCTGGGGTGAGCTGAGCACCAGGGGGGGGGGTCCCTGATGTCTTTGGGGTCCCCCCTGCATGCTTCCCAGCACCAAGAGGACACTGGATCCCTCCCTGGGTCCTTCCCATTGTTGGGGTCACCTCCTTGAGGCTTGTCCCCCTCTTTTTCCCGGGGCAGGGCCGTGAGGGGGAGATCCGGCACCTTTTCCGGGGCTTCGCTTTCCTGCACTGTAAGAAGCTGGTGGAAAACGGTGGAATGTTCGTCTGCAAAACCCGACACCTCGTCCTGGCGGGGGGTTCCAAGGTGGGGAACACCCCCAGGGACTGTCAGGGAGGGCTGCAGCCCCCCAGTTTTGCCACTGCCCCCCTCAACTCCAGGCACTGTTTTCTCTCCCCTCTCTCAGCCGCGGGACGTCACCAACTTCACCGTGGGAGGCTTCACCCCCATGAGCCCCCGTATCAGCAGCCCGATGCACCCCAGTGGGGCTGGTGAGTGGTTGGGGTTGTCCCCGAGGCCACAGGGGTGTCCCTAAGGCCCCCCCCCAAGCCTTTATCCTGATCCTACAGGCCAACGC